ATAGACCCACCTGCTACACCATTTAAACAAGTTGAAATGGATCTTTTTGGACCATTCCCAAGGTCATCATTTGGCAAGAGGTGGATCGTCTTTGGCACCGACTGCTTAACGCGGTACGCTGAAACCGGCTACCTTGAGCGAGGAATGGAAGCTGAAGTAGCCAAGGTTTTCATGCACAGCATAGTTCTTCGACATGGGGCCCCAAAGGTAGTAATCACCGACCGAGGAGCAGCCTTCACATCGGAGTTGATGCAGTGTTTGATGATAATGACGAACACCATGGTCATAGGAAAAGCACTGCATACCATCCCCAAACGAATGGGTTAACGGAATGCCTAAATCGCACAATCGCTGACATGCTGTCGATGTATGTGGACTTTGAGCATAAAACGTGGGATGAAATCCTGCCTTACGCAATGTTCGCCTATAATACGGCCCTCCAAGAGACCACCCGCGTCACTCTATTTCAGCTTGTCTATGGTCGCATAGTCAATTCAACTCTCGATGCCATGCTCCCATTCGATAATGACCACTACGAGCCATCCGACATTGACAAATTTCTTCAGAAAGCTGAATAAGCACGGCAGTTGGCAAGGCACTCAATACGTCAACAACAGTTCAAGGATGCGGGCTACTATAGCCTGCGCCGCTGGGGAGTTAAGTACCAGCCAGGTGATGAAGTATAGATATGGAGACCAATACGACACCGCGGCCTGTCAGAAAAACTCCTTCGACGGTACTCTTATCTATATAAGGTCCGTCGCCGGCTAAGTGACTTTACTTATGAAGTAATCTCTGACGGACAAGAGCGCTCGAAACAGCAAAACCATGCGAAGGTTGCCCTCGTTGTCCGCATGAAGCCATACCATGAAAGAGATCTACCCCCTCAACAATTAACCTTCCGAATTCACACATCGAGACGCGCATTTCAGAGGGGGAGTAATGCCGCAGAGATTGCTCCTACAAATCATTTTACGAAGAGAACCAACGAGACGCTATGTGGGTGTCTACAGTGCCTCGCAACCAACGAGACGCTATGTGTGCGTTTACAGTGCCTCGCGCGTGCTCCCACATCTTGGCACAGAGCAGTGTATACCTCTTGTGCACGAGCACGATCTGGGGAGACTGACCTGGTGGTTTTTCAGAAAGGCACACGTATGCGGAACGCTTTTAGCAGACTCTTATTTGTGTCTTAGTTACTTTTCTTTCAGCATTGTCTGTTCATCATTGTCTGTGTGTTCCTCCTCTTGTATTACGAGACATTATATCTTTTGGAAAATGACTGAATAGCACGAAACCCATTTATGCTCTCAATGGAAAAGTTGCTCCTCTCTTGCTGCAGCCGGTGATTCTCACTAAATCTTCTTTCCCTATCAGCATTATCGTGTAAAGACACAGCAAGGACTTCACGAGTGTAGTGTCCCTACGACTCAATGACTCAAGTCCTGAGGTACTGAAGGGTAAAAGAAGGCCGGTTAATTAAAAACTAAACAAACTAATATATTGGCAGAGAAAGAAAGGCAACGTACGCTCAGCTCAAGAGCTTTGCTGGTGATTGAAGTCCTTAGGTTCTCCTCCTTGTACCACACACATACGCGCACACAGACACACACAAAAACAACCTCTGACAGTGGTGCAGGTATCGCCAGTTTTGTGGCCCATTCTGGAGGAGAGAACAGAAGTCATCGAGAGGAGCGCGGATTCGGTGATTCAAGGCCGTGTACCTGAGGGCCGTATAGCTAAATGTAAGGCTTTTCCTCGAATTCGAAATACCCCAAGAAAGCTGTTCGCGATATGCTCTCCATCGCAATGACAAAGTCATTTTGTTCTTTGAGTTGTTAATTCCAGTGGGAAACCAGCTGTGTCAGCCTATGAAGAGTCGATCCGCTGGGCATACACCTTCAAAGGCCTCACTCTGCCATCTCTGCCGGTGAGTCCCCTTTCTATTGTGCACATTTTCCACTGCTGTCTTGGCTGGGCGGTCTCACTCAGTAGCAGGACGTCACCTATGTTTACTTGTTTGTGGCGTTGGTTCCGCTTCATGCGGATCGCTTGTAGCTCCTGCAAGTACTGTCTTGCCCATCGCTGCCGGAAGCCAACCAGGAGTTTGTCTTTTCTTGAAATCATTTTCTTCAAATTCATACAGGATAAGGCACAGATTTTTGGTGGCAGCAATGCAGATGTAGCCGTCAGTCGCCATCCCGTCATAAAAGATGCTGGACAAAGCATTTTGGACTCATTGAGCTCTGCATAAACATGAGTGAGAGGGCGAGAATCGATAACAGCATCGGCGTCTGTCAACCAAGCAGCCATTTTTACAAAAATGGTGACGCTTGTTTTAAGTGTCTTTTTCACTATTTGCTTTGTTATTTCGATGAGGCGCTTGTAAAAGCCGCAACACCATGGTGCAGCACTCTCGACAATGAACTTCCGCTTAATGCGGGAATTCGCATACTTCCTCACTTTGGACTGCCAACCAAAGAGATGCAAAATCTCTGTTGGCCTCCTTAATAGTTAATGCCTTGTCGCTGTATATTGTGCTCCTAATGCCACGTCTTGCTATGAATCTCTTGAAGGCGAGAAGAAATGATGTTTTTCACTAGCTTCAAATAAACCGCTCGAGTTACTTATCATGTGAACAATGCAATATAGCATTTCACAGCAGATGTTCCCTTAATGAGTAGAGGCCCGGCAAAATCAAGACCAGTTATCTCAAAGGGGTGTGCCCCCGGTATTCGGTCTTTCAAAAGAGGAGTGAGTACCTCGTTGGCAGGCAGAGCACGGAAGCACTCAGCACGCTGTGTAAAAATCTGACATGTCTGGGTGCAACCCCATCTCCCTCAAACTGCAGCTGTAAGCTCTCGCTGTTTGAAGATGATTTATGGAGCTTCATTGAGGCGGTGCTGAATATAATGGTGGCCTTCGTGTACAGCTTGAGAGCTTCTTCTTCACTGTTTGCTCCCATCAAAACATTATCAACACACAGGCTTCGCTTCAGAGGACCATTGATTCAAAGGATCTGAACATCACATGTCTTTGAATGATGGTGCAGCGTAGCCAAAAGTGAGAATGGGCTGGCCGTGATTCCAAATGGAATGCGCTTCATGTGCCATGTCTCAATGGTAGGCAATGTTTCTCGAGGCTTAGGGGTATCTTGGTACCACAGGAATCTCAAAGCGTCTGTAGTCTGGTTTCACTCCGATTTGTAGGAAGACTTGCTCAATGTCTTGCCAGGGCCACCCGACAGCTCTGAAAGTTTAGCAATAGGCCGACGAGATGTGCCGTCAGATTTTGCCCACTCTCGAGATTTTCGTTCAGTCTTTTTGAATTCTTTGTACTTGACGAAGCGTCGAATACAACTAAGAACTTTTTGGACTCTCAGATGACGGCCTGGTACGGTATGCAATAGAGGATGTGGTCATCGTTGACATTGTGCTCAACCCGTTCTGCGATATCCATAGAATGGTACTGCCTAATCGCTTTGTCGTATTCACAGAACATACCGGGGGACTTCAGACGTCTAGTCTGCTGATTAAGCCTTTTCGTGGGGACTTTCCTGTTGTACCCAAGAACTAGTTAGGTTTTCCAGGAAAGAGCTATTTCGTAGCGCCCATCAACCGTCGTGACTATTTTCGAAGAATTCCAGAGCAGGACTTGTTCCTGTGGTATCATTCCCTTCAATAATGCCAGTCGACTCCAGCGTCTGAAACTTGCTGAGCATGTCACTTGTCCACTCGATAAACAAGGAGCGCTACATCGATGTCTCTATGCAGTTGCTGTCATCTTTGCTTCTTTCCGCGGGACCCTGAACCATCCACCCTTCAGCCGTTTTCGCTGCTCGGAGCCGATTCCTGAATTTGACCATTCGGCCAGTGGTGAGGTCCCATAAATAGTCGGCTCCAATCAATAATTCATTGTCTATCGCACCATCTCCGCCGCCGAAGTCAGTGCATTCGTACCCCAAAGCCTGCAATTTTTCCATAAATTGTTTTGGTGGTTTGGGTACCACTTGGTCAAATATCACATTCATTTCTAGCACCTCAAGTTCCCGCTTTTCACTCCCTTTCGTTTTCAGCAACACCTTTACTTTTCGGAATGGCCGTTCTTCTTGGTGTCCCCCAAAGAAGCCAACACTCAATCACTGTTGTCCTGCAAGCTCACATCCAAGCTTCTGTGCGTTTAGTGTAGTGATATAGGAGCACTGATTACCCCCATCAAACATCACTTGCACGTGAGCATTTAAGGACTCTGCACAATTGACCGTTGCTGTTTGTAGCAATACGGTTTATTTATTTCCAATACTGCTGCTCTCATCTGAGAGTAGCAGGAGGTCAATACAAAAAGTAAGTGCAATATATGAAACATTTCAGGAATGATAAAATATCTAGCAAATGTAAAACAGGAAGTTGCCATAATTATATTACAAGAATAAATAGCGTTTACCAAAATATATGCAATGAATACATTTATCAAACTGTTCGGACAAGACTTTGTAATGTTGAACACCAATGTCGCATCTCACAAAAAATATTCAGATAATAAAATAAAAAATAAAAACAACCCTATCGGAAAAAAATGAATGGTGGGCATGGTGGAAACCACCACCCACCATTATAGTGGATTAATGTAGTGGGTGAATGGTGGGAAACACCCACCATGGTGCATGGTGGGTATGGTGGGTGCTGCAGTGCCGGCAACACTTGAGCGCGAAATGACGTCAGAATCACCGTGACGAGCTGCCACAAAAAATAAAAAAGAATTCTATAAAAACGGTATAAAAAACACCCGTCCCGTAAAAAAAAAAAAAAAAAAAAAACAAGGCGCCACGGTGGATCGAACGTGCAACCTGCGGATTCCCATTCGGAGACGCTAACCACTGCGCCACACCATTTTTTTTTTCTTTATTTCCGGTAAACTTCACAAACGGGTTACTAAGATGTATTACAATTCACTACATACAATAAAAAAAAACTTAAAACATAACTATAACATATCGCATCCTAGAATTCCTTCATGGTCAGTAGGGCTTCTACCCTTTCTACCCACAAAGGTACACATTCGTCTGTTCTTACTACCTCAAGAAATCTTGAGATGCTTTCCTTAAAATACTCTCTTGCTGGTCTTCTGTCTGGGTCACAATGAAATCCAGCCATTCTAGAGCGCCATATACTGTGCAAGGCAGTCATCATGATAAAATCGAAAGGTAATCCATCCTCGTTCTCTATTGGCAAATACCTGATACCATGAGGGTCTACCGGAAACTCTTTTTTGATTGTCCTTTGTAATACGTCCCAAAAATAAACTCCTTCCCAACAGTGCAGGAAAACATGGTCGATAGTTTCCGGTTTCTTACAGATTAGACAGTGAGATCCCCAAGGCATATAGAACCCACGCTCCTCTAGGAAGGTTCTTACAGGAAGTGTTCCAGTGTGTAATTTGAAAAAGAACGTTTTCGCACTTGGAGCTGCTGGCATTTTTTTTACTCGTTTAAGTACGTTCTGACCCTTGCGTGCTGTATATAGCGCTCTGTACAGTGGGACGGGGAGCATCGTGTCACATAAATCTTTGTACAGTTTTTTCTTTCCAACAGACCACAGGTAGTCAGTTGAAAAGCGAACACACAAAAACCGCACGCTGGCCACTACTTCTTTCATGTATCCTTGCACAGCCCCTGGGGTAACATGGGTGCTCACAACAAACTCGGGCAACAGTCTACTTAGTCTTGTTTGACACACTGTTAGTAGGAAAGGATCTCTTGTCTCACGAAAAAAGAAAAACCTATTTACTAACTGCTTGATAAACAGATGTCCTAGCCCAAGGCCTCCACACTTCACCCGTCTAAACAAATTCGTGCGGCTGCACCTTTCCCAGTTAGACCCCCACACAAATATTGCAAACACCCGATGTAATTTTTGCACATTGACCCGGGAACAGTACAGCACTTGCATCACATACCACAGCTTAGACACAAAAAACCAGTTGCATGCAGTAGCCCTAGCAAACATGGACAGATAAGTTGCATTCCACCTATTCGCTTTTTCTTTAATTTCTTTCGTTTGCTGTGTCCAATATTCGTCAGTACTTTTGTATGACTCGAGCGGTACTCCAAGATATTTAACTGGCGTTCTTGTCCATTTTATGGCTGCGAAAAATTCTGGTGTTGAAGGCCAATATCCATGCCAGAAGCCGAGGCATTTACCCCAGTTTATGTGGCTTCCTGTAACTTCGGCGAAATATTTAGAAACTCTGATTGATTCTTCAATACCGACATAGGTAGTGCTACAAATCGCAACATCATCAGCGTATGCGAGTAGTTTGACCTCTGAAGATTGTACCCTAAACCCATTAATGATGTCATTCTGCAATATCGACTGACATAAAGTTTCAATATAGATGCAAAACAAAAGTGGACTAACAGGGCAACCTTGACGCACTGAGCGCTCGATTCTTATGGGGGGGCCCAATGTCTTGTTGATAATTAGTCTCGTACTACCGTTCCGATATGCCATGGCTACTCCGTCAATAATTATCTTACCAACATTAATGTGCTTCAATACTGCAAACAAAAGAGCGTGGGAAACGCAATCAAACGCTTTCTCTAGATCCAGCTGGAGTATGGCCACACGAGCATGACAGGTGTCAACACATTCGAGCACGGATCGCATTTTATGAACGTTTGTAACTATGGACCGACCTTTTATTCCACACGTTTGGTGTGGACCGACGATATATTTTATTACTGACTGAAGTCTGGCCGCCAAAATTTTCATTAATATTTTGTAGTCTACGTTTGTCAGTGCGATTGGCCTGTACGCTGTGACGTGTCTGAGCTTTTCAACCTCGTCTGTTTTCGGAATCAGAACGGTACGCGATTCACCAAAGGATGGTGGTAATTTCTTTTCCTCATATGCCTCATTAAAAACGCCCGCAAGTATTGAAGACAATTCGCTTTTAAAACATTTGTACCACTTGGCACAAAGACCATCTGGTCCTGGAGATTTCCCAGGATTTAACTTATCAATCGCCCGTTCAACTTCAGATGCAGATATAGATAATTCCAAAGCGTTTTTCACTTCCTCACTCACTTGCGGCATGAGTCCTAAATATTCGTCTTTAAATCTTTCTAGGTTTGCCTGTCTACACGCAAAAAGGTTTTCAAAATGACTTGAAAATACGGATAAAATGCTGTCCGTATCAGTTACCTAGTGACCGTCCTTCTCTATTTTCTCGATATGATTCCGTCGAGCGTTCGTTTTCTCCACCCCTAACGCTCTTTTGGTTGGCGTCTCTCCAGCCGCTAAAGCCTCGGCCCTAGCACGTACGAGTGCACCGCGGTAGCGTTCCTCGTCATGCAGTGCAAGTTTCTGCTTAATATTGCGTATGTCAATTTTATACTCTCCCAGTTGTCTGCACTCCAAGTCTACTAGTCTTTCCAAAGTCTTTCGGAGTTCTTTTAGATGCGGAGCATCTTATACTCGCGCCTTGTAGTGCGTTGTCCGCACCGCTTCTCGAACATTCGACAGCTGACGCGCGCGCATGCGCCGTCGCGCCGTCGCCCACTCTTCCACCATCTGTGCATCCCTTCCTCCTCTACACACCGCGCGCGCTTCACTCCTCCACCATCTGTGCACCCTTCCTCCTCTACACACCGCGTTCGACATCTACAATTCTCCTGATTCTCCAGTGGACGCGCATGTGGCGTCGCGCTTCGAGAACATTCAACAGCTGACAGTGCATGCGCCGTCGTGCTGTATATATACTCAAGGTCGGCGCTCGCTCGCTCAGTTGCCGCTCGTCGGTTGGTTTGTACGGTGCGTCGACGTCCAAGGTCGCGGTGAAATGAATTCCAACGAATCCACAAACACAATGATCGACGTCCCTTCGACCAGCGCCGCCCTTTCGCATACGTGTGTACGTGTTCACTCATTTAACACCCCCTCCTACAACCACGTTAACCAATTTAGCCATCGACCCAAGTAAGTCGCAATTTAACACCCCATTTCACAACCACGTTAACCAATTTAGCCATCGACCCAAGTAAGTCGCACTTTAACACCCCGTTAACCAATTATATGGTCCGCATCCTCCTCAGTGTTCCCCCGAGGGAAGCTGCGGGCAATTTTTTCTTTCTTTTTCCTTTCATAACTCAATGCGCAAGAACGATCAATAGCTTTTATTTTTATTTGCTGCTTGAACTCTTCCCATTGTTCTGCTAGTTTAGCTCCATCATCCATTTTTATATCATTGATGCAGTTCATAACCTGATCTAAGAAATATTCGTCAGTGATCAAAGTGGAATTCATCTTCCACAGCTCCCATGAGAAAGTTCCACCTTGTGTTTTCTCTCCCATATCACATTTAACTAAACAATGATCGCTAAAGTGTATTGGGTAAACAGCATATGTCTTGCAGTGAGCTATTAATTCAAGCGACACGTAAATACGATCAAGGCGCGCATGGCTATTCCCCTGAAAATGTGTGAAACGCACCTCCCGCGTTCCCTCCATACAGCTGCCCACGTCTTCTAACTCGAATTGAGTAACTACGTCCGCTAGCGTCCTACTGCTTTTATCGTAATTGGCGCGTCCATTCGCTCGATCTCGCCCATTGAGGACGCAGTTAAAATCACCAAGTAATACAGATTTCCTTTCCAAAGTGAAGCGCTGCTTTAGGCTTGAAAAAAAAAGTGATCGCTCCTCACAAATGGTTGGTGCATAAATACACACTATACGCCACTGAAATTCATTGAATGCAAAATCACAGGAAACCAATCTACCAGACGGGCAAGCGAAAGTATCTTGCACTACCAGACCCGGTAACTTCTTAATGAACAAAACGCAGCCTGCAGACGTGCCTATTGCTTGACTTACAACTGCGTGGTAACGCGCCGTAAACCTCAGCACCATGCCCCGAGTCTCCTCCTCACCGTCTACTTTTGTTTCTTGTACAGCAAGTACATCCAGATCATGATCCACAAGTAGCCTGTAGACTTGGCTCTGTTTCCGCTTGGCGGCGAGACCTCGAACGTTTAACGTTGCCACTCTAAGTTTCGGTGCAACAGCCATGTCTACACAGTGAAGAAGTTAGCCCGGGGTATGGTGCTTACCTTCGGCGTCTAGCATAGAGCTAGACATCTTCGGAGCCTCCAGGTGGACCCGTGCCACTGGAGGACAAAGGTGGCCAGTGATTGTCCGATATCAGGTTGGGACGCAGCCTTGTGCTGCTGCGTCTGAACGAAGTCGCCTTCGCAGGTGGCCCCTCTTCTTGCTTTTCGCTGGACGCCTCACGCCGTCCTGCAGACTGCTCGCGGGGTCTTTTGCTTGGCGCCCCACCACTGATACTCTCGCACGACACTGGAAGTTCGGTTAATTCCACCGGCTCAGGCTCCTTCGATGGGGTGCTTGTGAAGCCTTCTTCGGTTTGGCCGGCTGGCTCTTGAGTAACCACCTCCCCAGATGCTATGTCTGCTTTGGCTGTTGTTTCATCACCACCCGTCGGTGTAACTGTACCTGTTGAAGGTTCAGGGTTCACCGCGTCGCCTGCGCCTTTCGCCGCGTCTTCAGCTTCGGTCACGTCCATCACCAACTCTGCTGTGTCGTCACCTTCGGCTGATCCGATAGCCGATGCGTACGTGCGCATGCACGCATCTTCGCTGTGGCCGAACCGCCGACAACGCGAGCATCGGGGTACCTTACACTCTCTTCTAACATGGCCGGTACCTTGGCAGCGCAGACACTGCATTGGCCGACCAGGTGCAACCACAAGTGCCAGTTCACCAGCCACCCTGATTTGATGGGGGAGATCTTCAACCTTCACGCCACTCTTGAGCTTAAGAAGCACAGTCCGTGTGGTTGAACCCTTGTCGCTGACACCCTGAACACGCCAATGCTCCCTTGTGACTTGTACGACCTTCCCATAAGCCGCCAACGCCGCTCGCACGTCTTCATCGTTGACGCCGTACAGCAGCCAATGAAGACGCAGCCGCACCTGCTGATCCTGGGGGTCTACGATGATGCAGCATCGGCCCTTGACTTTCAACTCCTTCACATCCAGCAAGCGTTTCGTAGCGTCCGCGTTGTTCATGGTGACTGCCCAGACATGATTTATCTGGTAGGCCCCCAGTGCCAACACCTCCGGCAGCAGTCCTGTAGGTCCGAGCGCGTCTCGGAAATCTTCGACTCGATACGGTCTGCCGCGCACATCACCGTGTAAAAACACGGTGTTTTGCGCGACGCGTCCCTTGGGCAGTGGTGGCAAAATAATCTCATATCCTGCGTCTTGGTCTTCGGTCATCCTGTTACCGCGGCTAGTATGTGCCGCAAACGCCGCTCCTACGGAGCACATGATTCTTGCGTCCGACGCGCGTGAGTGCCGACGAAAGAATGAACCACTGCGCCACACCAACATGACGTTGATTGCGTGTTAAATACTTAGTTGGCATACAAACTTAAGGTTCAACTTGGTTATGTTTGTCGTGTACACTACATAGACAACATCTACACCTGCTACTAAATATTGCACATTTATTAAACACAAGCAACTGCGGCCTGTAACGATTGCCACTATGTTAATGACACTAGTGCTATTTTTTGCGATTCACAACTTCAAGAAAAAAAAAAAACCAAGCGGACTGGGGAGCAGCGACAGTTTTCCGGCGGGGTCTGCCAAGTTTAATATCCGTTTCGCGCTCGTTCTAAAGGGCGGCATCTGTTCACGCTTTATGACGCTTCTAGGCTCATTCCATAGATTCGCCCGCCTAATTTATTTGATTGAGTATTGGGATGCTTTTCGCGCAATGTAGAGGACCGTCGCGCCAGCGCAATGCTGTAGCTCTTTCGCTAAA